ATTGGGCACTGCCGCAATCTTCTGCCACTCTGTGAGCCAATCCCGTGTTGTAGTGTTGCCCTGTGACATGGTGAACAAACGGTTGATGGCGAGTGTCGGCGCGTCATCGATGAGGAACCGCTTCTTCCACAGCCGTGTCAGTTCCTCCCATGTGATTTGGTCCTTCAAGTCTGGTGCGTCAACGCCGTGGGAGGTTGCCAGGTGGCTCAACCAGGTCTGGCATTCGCCCTTTGAGTTCAGGAACAGGGCGTCGATGTACGCATGCTTGGCAACGGGCAGAATCCTGAGTTGCGTTGTGAATGCTTCCCACCAGAGGACCGGATCCTGCTGCATGTAGTCGTCGAACCTCTCCAGATTGAAAGTTGGCATCTTATACATCTTCGGGTTGCCATCCGCGTTCGTCGTCTGCAGCTGCTGGACCTCGGTCTTCAATGTATGCAGCTGACTGCTGATGGTGGTGGTCGGCGCAGGGAAGGTGCTGATGTCGCCGAGCATTGCCACTACGTGGTCAACGCGGTCCTCCAGTTGGCGGCTAGAGGGTGCACTGTTGGAAGCCCCAGCAGCTGGTCCTGGCACAGCCTGTTCCAGGTCCAGCAATCGGGCATTGAGTGCCTGAGTTGCATCCTCGTGGCTCTGCACCATGCGGCGGAGCTGTGCCAACTCCTGATGTTGTTGCGTCAGGTCCTGGTACTGTCTCTCCAACTCTGACTGTTGGTAGTTGCAAGCATACAACAACCGCGTCACGAGTTTGGAGAGGAACTCCTTGTGCTTCTCTTCCGGTGTTGCCTCGTCGCCGTTCGGTTCAAAATGCCAGTACTTGAGTCTGTCGATCATGTTGGCTTCATGCCGCTGCAGCAGATCCTGGGCTTCCTTGCGGCGAGCCTGGGCATCTGCGTCTGCATCGGCCTGTAGCTGCAGTTGTTCTGCTGCTGCTGCCTCTTCAGCCTGTACGCGGGCAGCCTCGACTGCCAGCTGGCGTTGTTCCTCAGCCTCTATCTGAGCCTGGAACCGCTGCTTGTAGGCTGCAAGGGACTCGTTGGGCAGTTGGCCTGGTAGGCCCGTCATGTTGCTGACGTGGCACTGCTGACGTGGCACTTTGTCTGACGTGGCACTGTGTCTGACGTGGCACTGTGTCTGACGTGGCACTGTGTCTGACGTGGCACTGCTGATGTGGCACTGCTTACGTGGCACTGTGTCTGACGTGGCAGTGCTGATGTGGCACTGCTTACATGGCATTGTGTCTGACGTCACTGTTGACGTGGCACTGAGTCTGACGTGGCACTGCTGATCTTGCACTGTGACGTGGCACTGTGACCTGACACTGTGACGTGGCACTGCTGATCTGGCACTGTGACGTGGCACTGCTGACGTGGCACTGTACCGAAC